CTCTCTCTCTCTCTCTATATATATATATATATATCGTCACAATATATACATATATCATATATATATCGTCACAAACAGAACTGCCCGGTAAACCGTAGGCAGAGAGAGAGAAGAGGACAACAAACGAGGGGCTGAATATATGTATATATCACACCCACACACACACACGTACGCAAAAAACAGGAAAATTAAGCAAATGCAAAAAAAATCGCATCACTGCCCCCTTCCCCCTAACCCTTACCCTTCCACCAATGTCTCACTCTAATCTCTCTCTCTCTCACACACACACACAAATGAAAGCGGAAAAAAAAAGGAAATGAAAAAACAGATATTGTCACGTGGCGCACTTTCAACTTCCACCACCCTCCACTGACTTCCCCCTGATGCTCCCCCCTTCCCCCTTGCCCATCTCTCTCTCTCTCTCTCTCTCTCTCTCTCTCTCTCTCTCTCTCTCTCTCTCTCTCTCTCTCTCCCCCCTTTTTATCCACTCCCTTTCCTTAATTGTGCACACATCCTCCTTTTCCATGATCCCCAACTCCCCCCACAATGGCTGTATTTGTCCTCCACCCCGATCGCCCCCAATAACTTCCACACCCACTTGCCATTCCACTCATCCTGATTCCCCCACATCCTCCACTGCCTCGCCATCGGATTCCGACCCAGAGTCCTTGACGTTGTCATCTCCCTCCCAAGTACCTTTTCGTCCTCTTTCGGAACCCAATCCGATCATCATGTCCCATCGTCATGTCACTTCTTCTCCCTTTCACGATCAGAGTCGGTTAAGGAAAGAAAAGTTAAACCACTGTAGCCTGTCTCTGCCCCATTTCCCGATTCCTGGTGCCATAAACATCTTACCTTATCCCCGCAAATCATGCTCCTTATCTTTCATCTTCGTCGCCACCTTCCTTCGTCGTCACCTTCATCCGTCAGCATTGTCATGGTGGGGTGCTTGGTCTCTCTCTCTCTCTCTCTCTCACACCACACACACACACACACACACACACACACACACTCTTCGTGTGTTTGTATGAACCCCCCCAAAAAAGCATGACTACCAACTCATCAGGAGGTTGAACCCCGACAGTCTGCCCATGATGCATTTGTGCTCGTGCGTGTGTGTGCGTGTGTTTGTGTGTGTGCTTGCACAGGCGAGCATGCAGCCGTCAATGTGAGTGCATGGTGTCAAGCTCGCTATACACCACCCGCCACAGATATGCGCCTGGAACCAGTTTTTTCCGTGGCCTGGCAGCCCTAACTGGCCATCTACAAAAGAAACACACAGGGCCCAACTGGTAGTCCACACATTGCGCGGCGATCCAGGCCGTTCGTGGTCCTACCGGCCCGGCGACCCCGATTGCCCCGTGATCTTAAAGTTTTAAGATCGCAGTGCAATCCGGGCCGGTAGGACCACGAACAGCCTGGATCGCCGCGCAATCTTAAAATCTTAAGATCGTGGGGCAATCTGGGCCGTCGGGCCGGTAGGTCAGCGGACGGCGCGGATGCCAAAATTACCACATTAGCAACTTTTATAAGTGTGGGGATAACGCCCGGGCCTTGCAAACGAATAAAGCACCCGACCACGTTATATATAACATCAGGGCATTATCTTCGGCTTAACTGGCGTACACCAAATAGCTCACGGGGTTTTCTATTAAGCATACCATCTGGAAAACCTCTCTCTCTCTCTCTCTCTCTCTCTCTCTCTCTCTCTCTCTCTCTCTCTC